TTATTTGAGCTATTTATACAGTAATTTTGCTCTAATTCTATCCTTGCATTGTTGCAGCTGTCCTTCTGAATCCATTTGATTAAATATTGTAGCTGATTTGCCAAGTAGCAATATTGGAAGTATTTAACAGTACTCTAAGTAGAATTGACTTTAACTAATGTGAACACTACCAGTGGACTAGTCATATCACAGGTTCAGTGTTGTAGCCAATGATTTATGTATTATTGTACTTAAAGAGACTTGCCCCTTCTTTTTTGTAAGGACAGGTGTAAGTAATTCAGATGAATGCGCATTCACAGCTTTCTTCAACAGTAAGGTTGATCACACATTCACTGATGCTCAGATAGAAGCTGTGTTCACTTTGGCTGTGCTGGCACGCTGCATGTTAAATAGTGTAGTTAAAGGTGAAGGGACTCCATGCCCAACTGGCACAAATGGCACCATGCTGGTTAGGTTTTGGGCCCCTTGTGGTAGTGACACTGCTAGGAACTAAAGGGCTAAACAGCGGAACATATACTGTAGAAGTAGTACAGTGGCTAATGAAATGAAAGTGAGTCACTGCAAATCTTAGCACAGGAAAATCCAAAATGCTCAGACCTGATTAATGTAAAACAATGAGAGCTAAAGAAATGCAACAATTTGTTTGTTTTGTACAGCATAGTGAGAGCTACACACAAGGAAACAGCACTAACAAACAATGAGAACAACCAGCATAACAAATAAAATGCAGGAAGGACAAAGACAGCAGTCCACATAACCCAAGTCCACTGGCAGCAAATGAGGCACCAGGGTAAGAGGCACATGTGAGGAGGAAACAGATGGCAGCAAAATAAAAAAAATAAATTAAATAAAGGCTGACAAGGCTGGAACAATGAGCAACAGGTGTAAGCAACAAAGGTCAGTCAAAGACAGAGTAAAACTCAGGCAGGTGAGGATGACAAAACACAGGAAATAATGTCAAAATAAAAGCCTAAAACGGGATCTCTATGAGATTCATGACATTTTTTTGCAAATTGTATTGAGCATCAAACACTCAAGGACCTTTTCTTTTGAATCTGTATGGCATGGAGTGAAAAGTAATTTATAGGGTACAGCAGCTAATTCGCAGATGAACATGACTGCATTATTTTACAATGCAAACTGGGGCCAGTGGTAAGGTGCTACTTTCTTCTTTGTCCTTTGTTCTGCAGAAAAGGTGGCAGCTAGCCGCTCATCACCACTGGCAGCACAGCAGAGAGAGAAATAACTTAGTCTGGCCATGGGATTTGTCAGTAAGATTACATCTTGACAAATGTGTAGTGGTTTTCCCTGTCTCCTCACTGCAAGAAGGGTTTGTTTGCCTAGGATCTTTCTTGTGGAGTTTGTATGGTCTCCCTCTGCATGTGTGGGTACACCAGGTACTCCGGCTTCCTCCCGCAGTCCACATACATGCAGGTTAGATTAACTGGTAACTCTAAATTACCAGTAGGTGTGAATGTGAGTGTGAGGGGTTGTCTGTCTTTGTGATAGACTGGCAGCCTGTCCAGGGTGTATTCTGCATCTTGCACATCTTGTTGGCTGTGACTGACTCCAGCCTCCCCCCAACCCTCTACACGTAGAGATAATAATGAACGGATTACATAATGGGCCACTACTGTTACTGTAGTTATGGCTATAGACCTTTTTCGCAACAGACATTTTGACGTCATAATAGGAAAAGTAATTGATAACACTCACAATGACTGCATTCCATTTATGTGAGCCATTTTCGGGATCATGATATTGTGCATGCCTGCTGAATGGTACGGTTTAGTGAGACATTTAATGGAACTCAGCCATTGTTGATGTTGTTAGCTACACCTGTGCCTTTTCTGCTGTGACAAAATATCTGATGTGAATAGGGTCTATTGTAAATGCTTAATCTGAGTAGCAAAAAAAAAAAAACAGTAGACACATAAACACACACATTAACACACACACACACACACACACATTGACAGTGTAATGTGGCTCCATGCAATAATCTGTGGATGCCACATTCCTCTGGGCCCTGTGACATTGCAGAACTTGCGGCTCCAGGAGTTTCACATGCTGCTTTCACTGTCTGCTGAGGATGACACTGTGTTCTTACACTGCCACACTGGCAAGTGTTGTATAGCTGCTTTTATGTCAGGTCTGAGAGTGCCCTTCATATGCTGCATAGTTTCATCTATCTGTTTCACAACCGAGTTGGAACTGAGGATTTTGCAGTGCTTCTTCTGGCATTAAAGAGGAATTAAAAGTATAATCTACAAACTCAGTTTTAAAGCTCAGCGGCAGCAAGGCCACAGACAGCAGGGCTTATTCTCTCTGACTGGCAGCTGGTACTTACAGATCAGTGCAACGGATGCTTCTAAAGGGAAAACTCAACTAGGTCTGTTTGAGAGGTGAAAATAAAGTGGGCAGCCATCTAGAGAATCAAGTGTTGCTCTGGAGGTGTGATGACAGACTGTTCAGGTAAGCAAGAGGAAAGACAGTTTGGCTGCTTTTATATGAACTCCATCTGTCTTAAGTTTGGATTTTTCTCATTTGAATCAGCTTTCATGTCGAGTGAGAGAAATCAAAAACACTTCAGATGATAAGAAGGTATTAATGTTTTTACTGCTTTGTTTCAGTGTCATGGCAGTATGTTGACACATGGTCTACTGCTCTGCTTTACTGTTGATGTTTCAAAGGACTGTGTCTACACATTGTGGGTTTTAAAGTGGGAATAGCTGCAGATACATTTCAGATTTTGCACATCACTACTGAATGTTATTAAAGCTAACTTTTCTGCATCTTGCACATCTTGTTGGCTGTGACTGACTCCAGCCTCCCCCCAACCCTCTACACGTAGAGATAATAATGAACGGATTACATAATGGGCCACTACTGTTACTGTAGTTATGGCTATAGACCTTTTTCGCAACAGACATTTTGACGTCATAATAGGAAAAGTAATTGATAACACTCACAATGACTGCATTCCATTTATGTGAGCCATTTTCGGGATCATGATATTGTGCATGCCTGCTGAATGGTACGGTTTAGTGAGACATTTAATGGAACTCAGCCATTGTTGATGTTGTTAGCTACACCTGTGCCTTTTCTGCTGTGACAAAATATCTGATGTGAATAGGGTCTATTGTAAATGCTTAATCTGAGTAGCAAAAAAAAAAAAACAGTAGACACATAAACACACACATTAACACACACACACACACACACATTGACAGTGTAATGTGGCTCCATGCAATAATCTGTGGATGCCACATTCCTCTGGGCCCTGTGACATTGCAGAACTTGCGGCTCCAGGAGTTTCACATGCTGCTTTCACTGTCTGCTGAGGATGACACTGTGTTCTTACACTGCCACACTGGCAAGTGTTGTATAGCTGCTTTTATGTCAGGTCTGAGAGTGCCCTTCATATGCTGCATAGTTTCATCTATCTGTTTCACAACCGAGTTGGAACTGAGGATTTTGCAGTGCTTCTTCTGGCATTAAAGAGGAATTAAAAGTATAATCTACAAACTCAGTTTTAAAGCTCAGCGGCAGCAAGGCCACAGACAGCAGGGCTTATTCTCTCTGACTGGCAGCTGGTACTTACAGATCAGTGCAACGGATGCTTCTAAAGGGAAAACTCAACTAGGTCTGTTTGAGAGGTGAAAATAAAGTGGGCAGCCATCTAGAGAATCAAGTGTTGCTCTGGAGGTGTGATGACAGACTGTTCAGGTAAGCAAGAGGAAAGACAGTTTGGCTGCTTTTATATGAACTCCATCTGTCTTAAGTTTGGATTTTTCTCATTTGAATCAGCTTTCATGTCGAGTGAGAGAAATCAAAAACACTTCAGATGATAAGAAGGTATTAATGTTTTTACTGCTTTGTTTCAGTGTCATGGCAGTATGTTGACACATGGTCTACTGCTCTGCTTTACTGTTGATGTTTCAAAGGACTGTGTCTACACATTGTGGGTTTTAAAGTGGGAATAGCTGCAGATACATTTCAGATTTTGCACATCACTACTGAATGTTATTAAAGCTAACTTTCTATAAATGTATATTTGCTGAGGTTGAAGGTTGACCTATGAATTTGTAAGCATTACTTCTTAGGAATATGTTACCCTTTTCTTAAAAAAATTTAATTTCTTAAAGTAACTGAAGAATCACAACATTTCCTCTAGCACTGAGATGGAAAACCTTCATGTGCTCTGTGTAGTTATATATGACCATTTTATGGTGGGGACGGCTTGTCATGCTACATGCAGAGGCAGGGAGGTAAAATCTGTTAACTTGCTGGTTTGACATGACATGTGAGCATTGTTCACATTGTTCATGTTGTGGTTGCCAGATTGTTTATTTTCTCCTTGTCCTTCCTTGTGTGAGAGGTGAAGGTGGATGCCAAAAGTCTGCTCTTCAACTTGTTTTTTTTTTTTTTTTTTAGCATTCAGTCGAACTGGAATGATTTGGCTGTGGAGATTTTTGACTTCTACTGGTTTTCCATAAGTAGTTCATGGTGGATTTTGAGGTCTGCTGTGGATAATTGTCCTATTGTAGTCTTCTTCATTTTCAGTTTTGTGACTGACAATGGATGTAACAATCAAGGAAACATAAATATGTTCCAACAAAACCAGTGTAGAAGAAGGCTGTTTACAAGGAATCAATGCACATGGGGCTTTGCAACCATTCTGCTCAGAACCTTCTTGCTGTGACAGTGCTAACCACTATTCCACCATGCCACCTTGATTCAGTGCTGTACAAATGAAATTGAATTGAACTGAAATGAAAATACACAAACACACAAGCCAAGGAAAAGGGAGTAAATTTGGTGAAATTTCCTGTGAAATATAAGAAGCTCCAATCAACTCTATTAACTATAAAACATCACGAGAGAAAAATCAGTCTCAGATTTTTCACACAAAATACCAACAACTGCCTTCTCAGTGTCAAAGCTATCGCAAGACTCTCTTGTTTATTCTCTCTCACTCCACAATCACCACTCTATAGGGGCTATGCAGCACTCAATGTGGCTGATGCTGGTGATCCTATGGGTGGCACAGACTGTGGAGGCCTGTCCTAAAGTCTGTAAATGCTCCAGAAAATCTGTTCCAGAAAAGTCAGAAGTCAACTGTCATAAGAGGGGGCTTCGTACTTTTCCTTCCAATCTGCCCCCTGATGCCTGGATCCTCAAACTTGGTGAGTACCTTCCAGCTTATGAAATGTACAGTATCTCTGGAACTGTTGTGACCTTCAAGATGTGAAAATGTATCTGACATGTAAGTAAACATAAGCACTGTAGGATGTAATTGCATTGGTAATCAACTTTCACACCGGTGTGTAAAGGTGAGAACGGTATCACAGACCTGAAGGCCAATGCTCTGAGGTCAGTTCCAAAGATTGAGAGTATCAACCTGGAAAGAAATGCCATCAAATCCATTCACCCGCAGGCTTTTTCTAGTGCAAAGCAACTGATGCTTCTCAATCTTTATGGCAACCACATCACCAACCTACCACCAAGAGGATTCCAGGTAAAGAGTTTGGAGAGGAATAGATTACATATACAGTAATCACACTGCAAACATTGAATCACAAAAATAATCTTTTTTTATGTCTGTAGGACCTCCTGAACCTTCGCTTCCTCATGCTGGGACAGAACCAGATTGGCATCCTCAAAGCTGAGATGTTTGCTGGGATGAGGAACCTATCAGATCTGGATCTTCCTCTCAATGCGCTGACAACACTCCCATCTAATGTCTTCAAGCCTCTTATCACTCTCAGAGTTCTGGACCTTTCCCTGAATCGCATCAAAAGTATCTCCCCTAAGGCCTTCACTGGACTCAGACAGCTCATGTTTCTCAACTTGGACAATAACAGGTCACAACATCATATGGTCTTTTTTGTGAATGTATAGTTCATTTACATATAGCAATTACAAATGCAGATTGCCTTTCTAGTGCAGGTATTGTATTTTCAGCGAGAATCTGATTGTCTGGACAGAGCCAATGTTCCCCATGTGAAAATGTGTCAGCTGATCTTAAATGCTGATGACTTAAACTCTATTAATTGTTAAATCGAATACATTAAGCCCATGAAATACTGACCTGTACAATGTTACAGTATTAGTACACGATACAAAAAGACATCATAGAGGGGTCACTGATATTCATAAAATGTGTTCAGTAAGCCTCTTGGCCAGACAGCAACTATCCAATCATAGCTTACAAACCATAACCATGTGCAACATTTTGAAATTCTTCACTAGCTGAAGCTTGCATGGGGCTTGTATTTAGAGTAATTCCCTTTATTTAAAAAAGTTTAGACTAGAGAAACGTTTTTCAAGCCTTTGCTTGAAAAATTCAAGGAATGGATTAACAGTGTGTACGCTGCAAAAATGTGAATGTTTGGTCAGCTGGCTTAGAACCTGCAGTAGTAGCCAGGCATCATTACCTCTAAGGCCAGGGAACACATTCATTGTACAGTAATTTATGGAGATACTGTAGTATTTCCCAACAGTGTTTACTGAGGGCAACGTCAATGGCTCTGTCCTGCTCTTAATTCTTAACTCCAGAAACCATCATGTGTCTTTATTTCTTTGTCTCCTATATGGATGCTATTGATGAGAACACTTTCTCTGTGACAGGGACATGCAGGTTTAGCTTTGGTCTTTCAGCACAATACCATGTAAAGTCCAGACATTCCAGTATTTGGAGAGTTACACATTTCCTGTTTGTCAGTTTTCCTCATGTTCATCAGAGATTGTCCTTTTAATATATAATGCCCAAATTACAAGGTGTCAAAAGTAAACTGACCCAAAACATCCAGCCAATGGAACCAAAGAGTTTTTTCATTGTGAAGAGGTGGAGTCTCAACTGGCCGAGTCAGTCGCCCTGTTCACAATTTGAGCAAACATTTCAGACCAGATGAAAAACAAAGGGCCCACAACAAGCAGGAGCTGAAGGAGGCTGTAGTGAAGGTCTGGAAGAGCATCACCAGGGAGGATACTAAATGTCTGCTGATGTCTAAGACTTAAGACAATTACTGGCTGCAAAAGATTTCCCACAATAGGATGATTTCATTTGACTTATGTGTATCCTTCCAATTACCTTTGGACCTCTGAACTTTGGGCACATTATGTTTAAAATGTCCTCCACACAGTTCTTTCTATACTGATGTAAACCTGCTCAAATTAAAGCTGGGACTTGACACTTTAGTTTAGTCTGTAGTATTCATGATTTTATTTCAAATTGAATTTACTGGAGCACAGAACCTGAAGAATAAATATGTAACCGGGCAAACATTGCAGTTTGACCTGTAACATATCCTTATATAAGACATGCTATTGCAACTGTATTCTACTATGTTGTCTTTTGTTATCTGTTTATACAGCAGTCTCCACTTATGAGTGCTCATTGGAGAAGTTATAGATGTTGACAAAGGCATTAGTACACCTAGATCTGCATACAACTACATTATAGCCTTTCTGTATAAATGCTCCATAGGGAAACTTAATGTAAATTGTTACCATTTAGGTTGTTTAAGAGATTGTGGCTGTGTTTCCAAATCCAGTCTGAAGACCGTTCCTGCTGGAGCATTCAGACCACTACGATCTCTGGAAATGCTGGTTCTAGACAACAACCTTCTGTCCACACTGGGCCCTTCAGCTTTGAATGGCCTGGGCAACTTGCAGGTAACATATGATTTAGACTGTATTCACACACAAACGAAGATGATAAAGTCAGATCGAATCACTTTCATTTCAAGCTGAATTTGAAAAAACTGCTAGAAGAAGTGGTTCACATATAGTTCTTTTTATCCTGGAAAACCACATTTTAACATACATTTATACTTTATAGTACAGTTTTAATTTATTATTTTTCCCAGAAGTTAGAGTGAGGACAGCTAAGTGACATCCCCACTAAACAGTTTGATAACTACATGAATGTGGCTCCCTCTTGTATGTAGGTGTTCATATATTCATTGTGCAAAATGTTCTCAGTATACATAAGACCTCTAAATGCCACTACAGTAAATGTGCTGAATCCTGAACTAGGAACTCTACATGAGGAACAATGAACTGGAGCATCTGCCACCTGATGTATTTAGGAGCATGTCTAAGCTTTCTCATCTGGCTCTCAGTGGAAATCACCTGAAGACAGTGGATGGAAACATATTCGCCCATATAACTGGTAAGACTCAACACCAGCAAGATGCTTTTCATAGAAACAAAGGAATGACCCACAATTTTTGAGGTCACAATGACTGCATTGTTTACCGATGCCCACGGAGCACCTGTGTTACTGACTTGTTTTAGGTCTAAACGATCACAGAGGACTAATAAGAAATTAATACTAATTTACTCAAATACTAAATAGGTATACAAACACTGCACCAGCTCCCATCCAAAACATAGCCATGCTAATTAGCTTAGCCAATGCGTGAAATGCACCAGGGGCGTAGCAAGGAAATTATTTCAGGGGGTCGGTGGGTGGTGGGGCCTGGTGGTAGAAGGTGTTCAAGGTAGATAGTGTTATTTAATAATCATTTAAAAACTGGAAGCCACAGATTTATACCTTTCTTTTGGTCTGAGTATGTTATGATAATATTCTACTCTAACTGGCTCTTATCAGTTTTCCATCCATCCATCCATCCATCCATCCATCTTCTTCCGCTTATCTGGAACCGGGTCATGGGGGCAGCAGTCTAAGCAGAGATGCCCAGACTTCCCTCTCTCCAGACACTTCCTCCAGCTCCTCCAGGGGAAATCCCAGGCCAGCCGAGAGACATAGTCCCTCCAGCGTGTCCTGGGTCTTCCTCCGGGCCTCCTCCTGGTGGGACATGCCCAGAACACCTCCCTAGGGATCTGAAACAGATGTCCGAGCCACCTCAGCTGGCTCCTCTCGATGTGGAGGAGTAGCGGTTCTACTCTGAGCTCCTCCTGAGTGACAGAGCTCCTCACCCTATCTCTAAGGGTGCACCCAGCCACCCTGGGGACAAAGCTCATTTCGGCCGCCTGTATCCGGGATCTTGCCCTTTCGGTCATGACCCAAAGCTCATGACCATAGGTGAGAGTAGGAACGTAGATCGACCAGTAAATCAAGAGCTTTGCCTTGCAGCTCAGCTCCTTCTTCACCACGACGGACCAGTACATCAACCGCATTACTGCAGAAACTGCACCGATCCGCCTGTCAATCTCCCGTTCCATCCTTCCCTCACTCATGAACAAGACCCCAAGATACTTGAACTCCTCCACTTGAGGCAGGAGTTCATCAGTTTTACGGGAAGTCAAATTAAAACCTATCAAATGACTAACTTTATGTAAATTTAAGATGTCTGTGCTGATGAAATAGGGGTGGAACAGTTCACAAAAGTCACAGTTTGGATTGTATCATGGTGGGGGGACAAATACAGTATAACTTTGATTCCATTAATTGCTTAAAGAACTTAAAGAAGACATTGCCCATGGTCTTAGGTGAAAACAATATTCAAGATATCCAATGTTTCAATAAAATCTTAAAATATAAATATGAGGATGTCTACATTGTCTAGGGAGAGGGCTTATCTCGTTGCAGTCAGTGACTCCACTCATGCTGGTTCAAAGCTAAAATGGGGACTTCACTGCCAGTGATGCAGAAAAGACATTACATTTCTGCAAGTCTGTGTTCTGCTTGTTCATCAGCTGATCATGGATCAACTACGATCTGTTGCATCACTGCCATCAAATGCTGAAGCCTTTTGTCTGAGGGACTAACTTCTATGTTAATAACATGTTTTGTCTGCAGCACTGCTGTTCTACCTTCTTAAAAGCTCTGCACAATACAATATAGACCATATCTGGATGGGTGGAGGTGGGGTTAAACCTCTTAGAAAATAACCCAGTCTATAAGACTCAAATCTTACAAACCCAAAGTCCACCCCCAAGGATACATCTTTGAAATGCACCATATAAAGCTATAAGCTACATTCTGCAAGTCTTTGTATTTACATGAATGCACATGATCTTTTTCATGAGTTTGTAACTAAAGTGCATTTAATAGGAATAAAGCTGGTATTCATTAATGGGCTCTGTAAAAAGCCATCACAGTCTGGAGACCGGATGCAAATTTTACAATCAGAATCTTCTTTAATGGCCAGGTATGCTTGAACATACAGAGATTTGACTGTGATACAGAGGCTCTCAATGTGTTTGTTGTAAGGCAACAGGAATAGATAACAATGAGAATAAAAAAAAATAGAGCAATAAAAATGAGAATAAACTGTGTTCATTCAAGCAGAAAATGTGTGTAATCAAAAACAAAAGGAATGAGAGGAAAAGAGAATCAGCATTTCTAAATATATGTACATTATGGAATAAGACCTTTCAGACTGATATATGCAAAGATTGTATTTACAATTTATTGCACTGGAGTCATCGCTCTGTCCAGTTAGAGCCATGGGTTAAGTGTTCATGAGCATGATGGCCTGGGGGAAGAAACTGTCCTTGTGTCTGGTTGTCCAGGCGTACAGTGACCTGTAGTGCAGGCCCAGAGGGGAGGAGTTCAGTTTGATACCAAGGTGTGAGGGGTCTACAGAAATCTTCTCTGCCCTCTTTTTGACCCACGAGGTGTGCAGGTCCTCCATGGAGGACAGGCTGACACTGATGATTCTTTCTGCATCCCTGACTGTTGGAGTCTGTTCCTGTCTTGTTTGGTTGCTGAGCCAAACCAGACTATGATTCCTCTGTAGAACTGTATGGATCAATTTGAGTCTTAAAATAAAGTATTAATGTGACAGAAATCCTTGAAATTAGGTGTGAAGATGATAAGTTGGGTTGCTGTGCTGACCAGTTGGACTCAAGCAACCCAAGGCCTGAATACAAAGAAAAGTACTCACATTTTATTTTTCTATCCACCATTTAATAGAAGATTGAAAAACCAAGACCAAAATTTTAGACACTGATCTCATAAATGAAAAATCCAAAGCCAGACCCGCCAATTTGCTGTTTCTGTCCAACATTCCATACATACTGAAAACACAAGTCAAAAATCTTTATTAATCTGACTAATGAACATACAATTTAACAAAAGTTATCTCAAATTTCCAGCATTGCATTATTCAGTTTACTGTATTTAAATGAAACTAATTATGACATGGACCATTTTTGCTATTTATTTCTATTCATTATTTTGTCTATACCCTGAGATGTACCGGCATGATTAATTTTTTGGTGATAATCTTTTCTTTCAGACCTGAAGAAGCTGCACCTCCATGACAACCCATGGCAGTGTGACTGTAACATAATTTCCTTGATACAGTGGATGGGACAGACTAAGGCCACCCTGTCACCTCAGGACAGCCTGAGGTGCACAAGTCCTCCAGAACTCCAAAACAAGAACCTCAACAGCCTCCAACGTGACAAGCTGCTCTGCCATGGCTAGGATCAGAAAGCCTAAATACAGTCCACAGCCTGGGCTCGGACCCATGCAGATTCAGATGATAAATTTTATTTCAACAGATTTTGTTTAACATAGTAGTCTATGTAGCTGTTTATAGAGGAAACTTGTTTTATGTGGGATTTTTTAAAAACTGCATTGTATTCAATAAAAATAAGACAGCAACATATTGATGTTTTCAGCTGAAAATCTTGCATAAACTCTCACCTTTTTGAAACTCTGGCTTGACCATGTCTGTTTGAGTCCAAAGCTAAGAATTATAGATGTAATTTCAACCCACACTGGAGCATGAAACTCTTACACTACAGTAAAACTATGAAAATACTTAAACCTGCAGTTATGAGGATTTCCCTGAGTAGAAAGACTTGTTTTTTCCACAAGCAAAAACCAAGTGTTCTCCTTTATTGGCACATTCAACACTGAGACTAATATAATCTTGTATAGAAGTTATGCAGGGTTGGAAAGTGATGGATTACATGCAGTGGTATTATATAAATCAAATGCTAGGAAATGGTTCCTGTAATCTTATATATTTAATGTAAAAAATGCATTTGCATAGTGAGGTGACAGACTGCCAGGATTTTGTATAGCGAAAAGAAAAGTGTCACCAAGTGCTTGATCAAGGGGGATTTGTTGGGTTTTCCTCTATAATAATAATAATAATAATAATAGTAGTAGTAGTAGTTTGTAAAGTGTCCTGAGATGACTTTTGTTGTGATTTGGCGCTACATAAATAAAACTGATTTGAATTGAATTGAATATGCAGGTAATATGAGTTTACAGAAATTGTATCATCTAAACATGCTTGGGGAATAATGGAACACAGAACAGTTCTACGTATTTAGGATACAAAAAAAGGTAACTATATTCCATTAAGGTTACAGAGAAAAAGGTGTAATCAGATTACTGGTACATTTAGTAACTAGAATTACCGCTTTGCAGTTGTATGCCTCTGCCAATGTGAGGTCTCTTACTTTGACCGTTGGCTACCAAAATCTCAATTCATCCTTGAGTCCAAGTGGACATTTGTGCCAAATTTGAAGAAATTCCCTCAAGGCCTTCCTGAGATATCATCTTCACAAGGATGGGCCGGGACAGACGGCCAACCCAAACACATAATGCCTCCAGCTATCGTCAATGAAGAGGCATAAAAATGGGGATTATTATCAGGGTTACAATTTACCATTTTACAACAAAGAATGATATACTATCATACACTTGCTCACATTTTACAAGATTCTATGAGTTTCACAGCACCACTCTGGTCTAGAGTGTTAGGAGCCGTTCGCACAAGTCAGTGTGCGAATGTCGAAAGAGGCGGACCCAGGTAGCCGACTTCGGTGTAAGCAGTGATTTATTATATACAGTGAGCAAGGGAATGACAATACACAGAGGGAAATAGTACGTAGTCCTGTAGATGAGTAGTAGCCGGGTGTTTGACCAACCGCAGGAGGCGAGGAGATGGAGAACTGGGCCGAGCTGCGTAGGTGGGGTCACTCCTGGGCTGGTCAACGGTGATGATGGTTACTGAAGGTAGAGACAGAGAGATGAAGGCAATTGTGGAACAGATAGGCGACTGTGCATTGACCTGCCTGGGAGGAGAGAGTGGAGCCACGGTCTGGAGGAACAGTCCTTTGGGGAAACACAAAACGGTAGCTGGCAAGGGGATAAATACATACAAAAACAATGACAACGCACAGAGTAAAGTTGGCCGAGTGACTAGAAAGAACTGGCAAGTGACTGAGGAGTGAAACCGGATAATATAGTGAGTGACCTAATCAAGTGCAGCTGGTGATGAGGGAGTGAGGAACAGGTGAACGTGATTAGTGTTAATGGGCAAGAGACAGTAGGAAAGGTGAGGGAGGCCAGAGCGGCCGAGCAAACCTGACATAGAGTCAAACTGTAGCAAATCTTGCACCTCTCATTTCAAAATGTGTTTTGTCATCAAGATGTGTTTTCTATAACCTGGATCTAACTATAAAACAAAGTACATTTACATTAAATGATCATTAATGTTACCACTATTAATATAAATGTGCATTTTTTGCACATAACCACAGGAGGAATAGTTGGATAATCAATTAATAAACCTAATCATAATCTGATCTGTTAAAAAATGGTGGATGATCTTAGGTTGTTCTTAACCCATGTGCTAAAAAAAAGCACCATTTGTTCACCTTGTAAAAGGAGCAGATTTTTATGTTTGCTTTGTAAAAGATGTCATTGTTGTCCAGTATTTTAATTTGAATAATGGTCCATTGTTCTTGGTACCTCTAGTTTTGTACACACATCTGACTAATCTAGATGGCTTGACAAATTCATAATCAATGTCAACCAGTATACTTTTTTCTTTACACCAATGTAAGGTGCAACAGAACATCTACTGAGGATTGCCTCAGTCCAGCCAGCATTCATGTCCTTCTGTGCTCCCCCTGTCCTTGCTGATAAGGCCAGCTAATATATCATATTGATATTAAATTATAAGTATGAAGTTGGAAGAACACTCTTGTCTATAAAATGCATAAAGAGCCTTTATGCAGAGAAAACAACCTGTCCTGCGATGTCTGGTTGTAGCATACAGTGTCTCACTGCTCTTTTCTGTCAGTGCACCTGCATCACACTTCACACTGTGATTTGCTATTGCTGTACTGCAGCATCCCTCATGCCTGCCACTGTGACACACACACACACACACACACACACACTTCAGGTTCAGTAACTTATCACTGAACAGAGCTTGTGCAGGCAGAGACAGTGAGGGATCCGTTTATGGAGGGATGAGTAGGAGGAAGGACGAAGAGTATGACATGAAGGGGTGATGAGAGGGTTGGTGGGGTTGAGATGAGAAACAAAATAACAGAGCATGATATCCTGAACTAAACTTTTTGTAAATTGACAAGGGGACTCCCATTGACCTCCTCATACAATGACTTTGACATGAACAGGCCAGTGTCTGGCAGGGGAGATAATCGCCATAATTTCCACCTGCATTAAACCTGCTATTATCAGAGAGAGTTCCTAAGAACAGTATAATAGCTAGTCTTGGTTCTAAGCTGCAGTGCCCCTTGCCTCCATTGGTGGTTCTGACATATTATTCACCAAAGTCTAATAGATTTTTTTCCTTTCCTCCCCAGTGCTTCTTTTTTGGTATGTTTCTTATAATTTGCTGTTGCCAAACCTCTCATTTTTAAAGAGGGCTCGCTTTGAACACTGAGGCCATACAGTGCACAAAATGGAAACATTTCACACTTAGAATTTCTGATGATCTGATTTTAGATTGGAGTGTGAAATTACAGCAGGAAATAACTGCTGCTGAGGGTGTAATGAGGACAAATCCATCTACAGAAGAATTGTTTTGCATATGACATGCTTTAGCAGTTATGTATTTATGTTATTCTTTACACAACATGTAGCTGTGACCTGGGTCTTTGAGATTCCTTGTAACACACATTATGCATTAATGAATTATGACTGCGCTTAGATACAATACTACCATGTCCCATACTACCAGCATGCTCTGTGTTTTATTTTGAAGTATTTATGCTCTTATGTTTTGTAGGAATTTCATGGAACCTACAGGTGGTAAAACATTACTGCTGAATGCCAAATAATAAAAAAGATATTTACTCATTTTATTTTATATTTAAGTTGAATAGATATGTCTACTTGACAATTTGCCCACTATGATTTGAGAAACATGACTTCCAGGTATGTAGCATCTCTTTACTCCATTTACTTAGCAGCTATAGTTGCTAGTTACATACATACATACACAAAATAAGATGCATGATTATAGATTAAATGACCTGAAACATGTTTTGTATGCTGGAATTTACATGAGATCTCCACGTCCTACTAAGAATGATAAAACTGGAACTTGACTTATACAAAATTAACGTCCCTGAAACACCAGTTATAAAATTTAATTATGGAGTATTAGTCTTTATTATTATTTACATAATACATGGCAGGAACAGCACCTAGATTTTGGTGTGCATTCACCAAACTGCTCTTCCTTTCATTGAGGGAGAGCTGGGTTTGGTACATTACTTAACCCTGTCACAATAATTACACAGTCCTGCTGCTACGGCACTGCTACAGTCGGTCACTGTGTTCTGTGTTTGCATACAGCTCACAGGCTGGGTGCCTGTGGACTAAGCCATACAGCAAACACATCACTGTTACAGTCACAGGGTTTCATGTGATCACACTTTGCATATCTGTTTAAGTGTGCAACATAAATGCCTCAAATACAGCTGATGCAGAACATTATTAAATTCCAGCAACAGACTGTTTTTAATTTTAAAGAAAATACACAAGACATTTAAATATACAGTATGTAGTAAAATGGCTGTTGGGGTTATTAAACAATAGACAAAACAGATGGAGGCCACTTATGTGAATAATATAAGGGTTTAATTATTTGTGCAGCAAGGGAGCATTCAATACACACATGCATGAATAAAATGCTCAGGGGGCAGTCCCCTTGAGAGATATTTATACAGTCAGATTTTAGTAATTGTGGCAAATCCTGTGTCATCACTGGCTCCTGGAACAGATATGTATGCATCTCTGCAGTCTGACTGCTTATGAGAACTAAGTTGGTATGAGCATATAATCAGCAAAATACAATACATACGGTATTATTCTAGATCTACTGTTTACTCTTTGCAAGTACATAACGTATAATAATTGTACTGTGGGTCACCTGATGTGACTGTTCCTTGACTAAACATTCTTACAACAATGGGCATTTTTAAATTTTGTTCAACATAAAGTCTTATTTTTTTTAAAAACTACATTAACAACATTCTGAGCATACTGATGGCTACACAAAATACTGGGAACTTGGTATTTCCTGGCAATTTGTTAGGTTGTGCGTGTGATTGGACCCCAGATGCAGACTTAGACACAGGAAAGGAGTAACTATAGTAACAAGTTTATTACATACATTACAAATTATGCTGGGTGACAAGAAGTTGAGCAGGCATGGGGCGTGGCAGGAAGTGCAGCAGGCAACGGAGGCCAGGTCGGGCAAGGAACCAGGAGGACCGGGGAAGCAGCAGAGACCAGGAGGGGCAGAGGGCCAGGGCAGGCAGGTGAGATGGCAGGAGGATGGCAGGTAACAGGAGGACCAGAGTGTGCGGAGAGCAGGCAGGAAACAAAGAACCAGGATGGGTAGGTGAGAAGTAACTGGCAGTTGGGTAAATGCACAGCATATCTGGCTGTCGGGTAAATGCACAGCATACCGTAATTTCCGGACTATAACCTGCACCCACCAAATGTAAGACGAAAAAACACGTACATAGCCGCAGGTGACCATGTTGAGATATTTCGACAGCCAGATCGATCGCCTGTAACTTGAAGCGGCATCATATGCATTTCGTTGTGTGTTGTCCATGATGAGGGTGTGCGCATGAAGC